TCAGCTCACTGCAAACTCTGCCTCCCAGGTTCAAGCGATTCTTGTGCCTCAGCCTCCTGAGTAGCTGGGATTACAGACAGGCATGTGCCACTATGCCAGGCCAATTTCTGTGTTTTTAATAGAAAAAGGGTTTCACCATGTTGGCCAGGCTGGTCTTGAACTCCTGACCTTAAGTGATCCACCCGCCTTGGTCTCTCAAAGTGCTGGGATTACAGGCGTGAGCCACTGTGCCCAGCCTTTATTCAGATTTTTAAAAAGTGAATCAATGTAGTGAAAAATGTTGAGTAAATAATACTGGTAGTATTACAGTTAAAACCCTGCAGACGGTTTGTGGGTGACTAACCTTTAGGGACACCTTGAGCCTAAGGATCCATCGATTCTGCAGGTGAGAACAGGTAAAGTTGCCAAATAAAACACAAAACACTACATTAAATTTGAGTTTCTGAGAAGTGATGAATATATATATTCATGTGTTAATATACATATATATTAGTACAAGCATGCCCACAAATTGCATGGGAGATAGTTATACAAAAAAGAAATGTTTATCCAAAATTTGAGCCTGGATGCAGTGACTCTCATGCCTATAATCCCAGCACTTTGGAAAGCTGAGGCAGAAGGATCGCTTGATCCAGGAGTTTGAGACTAGCCTAGGCAGCATGGCAAAACCTCGTCTCTACAAAAAAAAAAAATTTTTTTTTAATTGGCTGAGTGTGGTGGTGCACGCCTACCGTCCCAGCTACTCAGGAGGCTAAGGTGGGAGGATTGCTTGTGCTCGGGAGGTTGAGTGAGCTGTGACCACATCACATCCAGTCTGGGGAAGAGTGAGAAACTCTGTCTCAAAAAATAAAATAAAATTTGATATTTTTGATGTTTAGGTATGAGTACATACCATGCAATATTTAGGATGTACTTATACTAAAAATTATTCATTACTTTCCTAACATTCAAATTTAACTGGATATGTTTATTTTTATGCTAAATCTGTCCACTTCAAAATTAGGGCCCATCCAACTTTACAAGTCCACTGTGGACATTAAATTCAACCTTCAGTTCTGGGAGCTGGTGTTCCCTGGGTTAAGCCTCCTTCCTCCCTCCTACCTGTAATCCAAGTAAACAGTAAAACTGTATGGGAGGGGACTGTCTGGGGCTTCTGGCCTATTCTCTCACCATCTCTTGTAGTATCAGGAGTATGGACAGACCCATCCAACCCTTCGTGGCACCTTTTCACCCCATCATACCGGTACAGGCCTTGGGCTGCCCCCAGGATGAGGACCATGCGCTTGCCGAGTGTGAGGTCTTCTTCCCGATCCAACAGCTCCCTCAGGGTCCCGCGTTCACAGTACTCCATGACGATAGAGAATTGAGTCGGAGTCACTGGTGGAAAGGAGCAAGACACTATGAGGATCCGCCCTACTCGGAGCTCCTGCTGTCTGCAGCCTGCCTCTCCTGGCCTCTGTGCAGACATAGACTTGGCTCTGCTATTAAGTCCCTTTTCTCCCTAGCTCTCATCCCATGGTTTTGCTCCCCGGCCTCTTTGAATGAACCAAATACACCCAGAATTCCCATCCTTTTCTCCATAATACTTGGCTTGTCATAATTCTACCTTAAAAAAAAAATTATGTTTGGCCAGACATGGTGACTCACGCCTGTAATCCTAGCACTCTGAGAGGATGATGTGGATGGATCACTTAAGGCCAAGAGTTCGAGACGAGCCTGGTCAACGTGATGAAACCTGGTCTCTGTGAAAAATGCAAAAACTAGCCAGATGTAGTGGTGCATACCTGTAGTCCCAGCTCCTTGGGAGGCTGAGAAAGGAGAATTGCATGAACCTGGGAGGCAGAGATTGCAGTGAGCCAAGATTACACCACTGCACTCCAAATTGGGTGACACAGCGAGATTCTCCCTCAAAAAAAAAAAAAAAATTCTTTTTCTTCTTTTACTTCCATCTTCCTTTCCTGGTATAATTCTATATTTGCTTGAGTAGTTGTTTGGGAAATGTCTTCCTCACTCAGCTGGAAGCCCAAGGTGGCAGGAAATGTATCTGACTTGTTCACACGGTGCTCACAAGGAGCTTCGTACGTCTGTGTGGGAGGAATGAGTGGGGCACACACAGCAGGGGCAGGTGAGGACTCAGACAAGAAGTTGACATCTCCGTTCATGGACCTGAGTTGCAAAACTAATACATGACTGAGCCAGGCACCTTAGCAGTTCCCCAGGAGAATAAACACTGCTGAACATTTGCCTTTATTTTTTATTTATTTTTTTGAGACAGAGTCTAGCTCAGCCTCCCAAGTAGCTGGGATTACAGGCACCTGCCACCACATCTGGCTAATTTTTTTATTTTTAGCAGAGACTAAAAATAGTTTCATCATGTTGGCCAGGCTGGTCTTGAACTCCCGACCTCAAGTGATGTGCCCATCTCGGCCTCCCAAAGTGCTGGGATTACAGGTGAGAGCCACTGCACCTGGCAGCTTCATAATATTTTAGAGGAACAAGATGCACCCCTCTTCCACACTGGCATCTAAACACGTACCCCTTGTTTCCCAGTGGGCTGAAAGGAGAAGATGTGGCCATGTTAGTGCAAATCAACCCTCAGGCTTCAGCCCTACTCTCCTGAAAGAAGATAAGAACATGCATCTTGGGATTTAAAAAAAAAAACTAATGGATAATCACACTGTGTAGATTTCAGCCTTTGTGGTGTTCTTTAAAAAAAAAAAAAAAAAAAAAAAAAGCAGCACATTAAAACACAGAAGGTATATTCCAGGCCGTCAAAAGCTTGGTCAGTCCCAGAAACACTCCTTACCTGTTTCATTAATGCAAATCCCAAATATACGCAGGATGTTGGGAGATTCAAATTTCTTCACGGTTTTGATCTCATCATTGAAAGCCTGCCTTACCATTCTATGAGGATAAAAGGAAAAAATGGGATTTCAGAACTGGAAGGTTCCTTAGAGAACACTCAGTGTAGTGATGCTCTGTGTATGTGGGCATGGGGGTATCAGCATCCCCTGGGGGTAAGAACTGGTGCCAGGGTGAGCTCAGCTACTGATGACAACATGTGGAAGCCCTCGGGTGCCTGCAGCAGCACAATTTGTCCCTCGGGATCTGTGAGATATTAATGGGGCTTGCTAATATCTTTTCAACAGTTTAAATAGTCTGATAGAATTGTATTTTTATGACCTACAGGGCTTTATTAGGCAAACTAAAAAGTCAAGTGTTTGTTATTATTTTTAGGCTGTAACATGTTGTTTAGCACATACTCTGACAGATTGTGATGTATGTCTTTTTTTTTTTTTTTTTTTCTTTAATTAAAGACAGGGTCTTGCTCCATCACCTAGGCTGGAGTGCAGTGGTGCAATCTTGGCTCAGGGCAACCTCCACCTCCCAGGTTGAAGCCATTCTCGTGCCTCAGTCACCTAAGGAGCTGAAACTACAGGTATGTAGCACCATGCTCAGCTAATTTTTTTTGTAGACGAAGTTTCACTCTTGTTGCCCAGGCTGGAGTGCAATGGCGCAATCTCAGTTCACCACAACCTCTGCCTCCTGAGTTCAAGTGATTCTCCTGCCTCAGCCTCCCAAGTAGCTGGGATTACAGGCACCTGCCACCACACCCAGATAATTTTTGTATTTTTTAATAGAAACGGGGCTTCACCATGTTGCCCAGGCTGGTCTTGAACTCCTGACCTCAGGTGATCCGCCCACCTCAGCCTCCCAAAGTGCTGGGATTACAGGCATGAGCCACTGTGCCTGGCCTGCAAATATATTTAAAGCCATTAAATAGTACATCTTAAATAGGTAAATCTTATGGTATATAAAATATATCTCAATAAAGCTGTTAAAAATACAGTCTCAATCAAAATCTTGATGCATATTTTGAGAAGTGTGATAAAACTTTCTTTGATATTTATTTAGCTAAGTCAACCTGAAAAAGAAGAATCAAGAGGAGGAAATTCTTTACCAGATTTTGAAACTTACTGCAAAGTCATGTGAAAAAAACAGTAGCAGTGTGTTATTGGTACAAAAGCAGACAAATTGATCAGTGGGACAGATTAGAGAGAGCAGAGTCAGATCCATGCCTATATAAAAACTTAATATACAATAAATACGGTACCACACATCAACAGGGAAAAGACAGACCACTTAATAGATGGTACAGGGAAAACTGACTATGTGACTAAAAATAAAAGTTGACCCTATATAATATCACATCCAAAGGTGGATTCTGGTAGGATTAAAACCTAAATATGAAAAATGAACTAACATTAAGAGAAGAAAATATAGAATGCCTTTAAGATCTAGAGGTGGTGAAGCACACCTCCAGAGCACAAATAAAAAGCTTGCAATATCTAAAGCTGACAAGTGCTTGATTTCCAAAATATACAAAGATCTACAGACAAGACAAAAGCAGCAATTGTGAGGGAAAAATGGGCAGAGGATATGAACAGGCAATTTATGGAAGAGAAAACCCAAATAGTTAAAGCATGTAAACAAGGGTTTGAATTCATTAGTTAAAAACAGAAATGCAAGTTAAAATAACGACAAGATATTGATCACTTTATAACTATAAGGATCAAAATAATTAGAAAGCAGGATAACACTAAGGGTTGGTGAGGTTGCTCATGGAAGTGTAGCCATAGACACTCTATTCTGAAGAGTTGCCTGGTAGTACTTAGTCATTTAATATACACATATCCTATGGCCCCTCATTTCCTCTCCTGGTGCTAGATCCCAAAAACTTCTCATACAGGTCCCTAAAGGGATACTTTTTTGGTAGGGAAAAGTTGGAAGTTGACCAGGTTCCATCACCAGAAAAAAAAAAAAGAAAATGTATGGCTCATGCCTGTTATCCCATCTCTTTGGGAAACTAAGGGAGGAGGTGCTTGAGCCTAGGAGTTCCAGACCAGCCTTGGCAGCACAGTGGGACCCTGTCTCTACAAAAAATTTAAAAATTGGCTGGGTGTGGTGGTGCACACCTACAGTCCCAGCTACTTGGGAGGCTGAGGTGTCAGGATTGCTGGAGCCCAGGAGGTCGAGGCTGCAATGAGCTATGATCTCACCACTGCACTCCAGTGCACTCCAGCCTGGACAACAGAGTGCGGCCTTGTCTCAAAAAAAAAAAAAAAAAAAATTGGCAAAATGTGGATCTTCACCATGGATGGCAGACAGAAATTAAGGGCTCCAGGTATGGAACATGTTCCATGATGTTGAGTGAGAGAAGTAAGGAAAGGAGGCAACATACACGTAACTCTATCAGTTGTGAACATGAAAAATGGATGCATACATTTTATAAGAACACACACAAACAAAACACACTAGAATTACTGTCTGATGAGGGGATGGGCCACTGGGAAAGAGGGTTAAAAGGGAAGTTTTTAAAAAATACATGTACATGAATAAAGAAAACTCTAGAACTGAGATGGAAAGATATATTTCTCAAGACTCTGCTCCTTAATAGAATAGTGGAGAGCACGTCATTTAACCGTTTGGGGTCCAGGCTTCCTCATCTAAAAATGGAGATAATACACCTTTCTCTTTGGAAAGTTATAGAGAGCAAGTATTGGTATGCACAAGAGAACCACATAAAACAACTTACACAATGCTGCCAGCCCGGGGTTTGTTGAATACTTTTATGGCTACTGGAGCTCTGTGGTATTCTCCTTTATAAACTGTGCTGACTTCATTTTCACTTAGCAGAATCCATGGGGATCCTGAAAGCTGCTCCTTCTTGATCTCCTTGACTTGCTCTTGCAGGGTCTCCTGCATGCATTTTGGTGGTAAATCTGACCTCAGCCCCAGGAGGAAGTAAGACAAAAGAGTCAATGAGCAGAGGAAGGGACAGTAAGGGAGGTGGCATCTTTGTGATATAGTAGGAAGCCCTCACCATAAACCAGAGCTGGTCCTGGCTGGGGCTTCTGATGGACTCAGCCCAAGGAGTGGCTCCAATGCCTCTGAGTGACCGGTAGAGACACAGCTGGACACTTAACAGAAGGTGTCATGCACTTCCTTTCCCTCCTCTTCAAATCCCGCCTGTCCCTCCAGACTTAACCCTCATCCAGACCGGTCTCTCTCATCCTGGAAGTCTCTCTATTCCTGTTGCCCAGAGTTTGTCACTTGAGCATCTGGCATCTGGTTTAGTCACTTCAGATCTACCAGTTAGGGACACAGTTCAAGCTCAGCAACCTTGTTGTGTGTTCACTGTCCTTCCACGTCCCTCCTCCACCCCATGAGCTCCTGGAAGGCAGTGTCCTCTGCATCTTAGTTTCCTCTTTGCAAGGCCTCTGGCATAAAGCAGATACTCACAGTTTTGTTGAATAATGAATGAATGGGCATTTTAAATTTGATTTGAATTTTTTCTTGGAAATTCAGCAACTGAACTGAAGCTTTGATGCTATTCACAGAGGTTTTTAAGCACTTTGACAGGTGTTAGCAGATATCTTACTGGTCAAGAAGCCCCCTCCAGATGTTATTCCATGGACAGAAGCGGGGGCTAGCCATGAATGGATCCCCAAACCTGTGGGCTGCTTCCAGCCCTCCAGCACAGAAAAAGGACAAACGCAGGGGTAGGGGGAGGCTGGGGTCCCATTAAACTGATGACTTCTAGTTTGGGGGCCATCAGAAACAGCAGGGCACAAGATAACTTACACTGCCTCAAAGTTTCCTTGATTTCTTTCATGTCGATTTCTAATCGTCTCAACGAAGCTTCTATGTTTTCATTATCTGCAGGAAAAAAGGGCAGTGAATGCTCAAAAATAGAAATTAAAATCACATGCTAATCGAAACTAAAATGCTAATTAAAACTGTTGAGATATCATTTTTTACTTATCATAGTCATTATAGTAGGGATGACTATTGATTACCAATATTCAGATTTCTACTTCTAAACACATAGGAAATGCATTAAAGCGTGGCTGGGTGACTTGCTTTGGCTAAGAAATGAAGGAAAAAGATGTCTGTCACTTCCCAGGGGGAGCATTTAATTGACTCTGCACAAGGTTCCAACCTGGCTGCTTTGGAAGTGAGGAAAGTTTGTGTCAACACCAAAGTACTATGCTATTGAAAGTATCTTGGAAAGAGGACATTCACCTTGGAGAGTCACCTGGACTTTGCCTGAATGAGAAATAAACTTGTTTCTTTTCTTTCTTTCTTTTCTTTTTCTTTTCTTTTTTTTTTTTTTTTTTTTTTATAGCAGAGAGCGATTTATTAGGCAGAGAGAGAAAGGAGCAAGAGAGCTCCCACGCTACCTGCCATGGGAAGAGAAACTTGTTTCTTTCTTTTTTTTTTTAGACAGAGTTTCACTCTTGTCACTCAGGCTGGAATGCAATGGCACAGTCTTGGCTTACTGCAACCTCTGACTCCTGGGTTCAAGCGATTCTCCTGCTTCAGTCTCCCAAGTAGCTGGGATTATGGGCATGTGCCACCATGCCCAGCTAATTTTGTATTTTTAGTAGAGATGGGGTTTCTCCATGTTGGTCAGGCTGGTCTCGAACTCCTGACCTCAGGTGATCCTCCCACCTTGGTGTCCCAAAGTGCTGGGATTACAGGCGTGAGCCACCGCACCAACCTAAACTTGTTTCTTTAGAACACTGAGTTGCTGTTGCTTTTTAAACCACAGCATAATTGAACCTATCACAACTTATATACTCAGAAATGTGTGAAAATTTATAACACACTATTTACAGTGGTCGGTCATCCCTGTCTGCCCAGTACTAAGGAGTTCTGGGGACATGAAAACTTGACTACTAAAAGTGAGAAAGTCTCTTATGGGAAAACTATAGAGAAACAGATAACCTCATGAATTTTTGGTAGGAATGATATTTGTGCAACTTCTACCAACATTTGAAACGCCTCTAGTCTTTGACGCAGTGATTATATCTAGTAATTCTAGTTGTGGGAATTTCTCATAAAGATATCTTGAAATAGGCTGGGCATGGTGGCTCATGCCTGTAATCCTAGCACTTTGGGAGGCTGAGGCAGGCAGATCACTTGAGGTCAGGAGTTCGAGACCAACCTGGCCAACATGGTGAAACCCTATCTCTACTAAAAATACAAAAATTAGTTGGACATGGTGGCACGCGCCTGTAATCCCAGCTACTTGAGTGGCTGAGGCACAAGAATTGCTTGAACCCAGGAAGCAGAGGTTGCAGTGAGCCAAGATCATACCACTGCACCCCAGCCTGGGCAACAGAGTGAGTCTCTGTCTCAAAAAAAAAAAAAAAATTTCTGGCGATAGATAGTGGTGACTGTTTCAGAACCATCTGAATATACTTGATGCCACTGAATTGGCATCTAAAAATGGTTGAAAGGTAAATTTTATGTTATGTATATTTTATCACCAAAAAATGAGAAAAAATGATGGGTATATATATTGTAGATGCCAAGTAAGAAAACAAGCTATAGAACTCTATGGAATTTTTTTTTCTTTTCTGAGACGGAGTCTCGCTGTTGTCCAGGATGGAGTGCAGTGGTGTGATCTCAGCTCACTGCAACCTCCACCTTCCAGGTTCAAGGGATTCTTCTGCCTCAACCTCTCGAGTAGCTGGGATTACAGGCATGTGCCACCACTCCTGCATAACTTTTTTTTTCTGTTTTTAGTAGAGGCAGGGTTTCACCATGTTAGGATGGTCTTGATCTCCTGACCTCATGATCTGCCCGCCTTGTCCTCCCAAAGTGCTGGGATTACAGGTGTGAGCCACCGTGCCCCGCCAACTCTATGGATATTTACATGGGAGGATATTTACATGGGAGGATATTTGAGATTATTTAATGAGGAAAGAAGAAATAGAACAATGTATTTGGTATGATGCTGATTGTGTGACAACAATAAAATATATATATTTAAATTTCCAGAAGGGTATTCAAGAAATTGGTAGACTGCGTGATTGTATCTCACATTTTGATAAAGGTTGCACAAATATCCTTCTACCAACAATGGATGAGATTATCAGTTTGTCTATACTTTTTCCATTAGACTTTCCCAGTTTTAGTACGGAAGGTCTCATGTCCTCAGAAAGGGAAACAGGGCCCCCTGAGGTCAAGGAAGGAGATTTACGTCTCATGCTGGCTTCCATGCCCTTTGTTTTTGGAGACAGGATTTCGCTCTGTTGCCCAGGCTTCAGTGCAGTGGAATAATCATGGCTCACCACAGCCTTGACCTCTTGGGTGCCTGTAATCCCAGCACTTTGGAAGGCTGAGGCAAGAGGATCACTTGAGGCCAGGAGTTTTACACCAGCCTGGGCAACATACCAAGACTCCCTATCTCCAAAAAATAAAATAAAAATGAGTTGGGCACGGTGGTGGGTACACCTATATACTCAGCTACTCAGGAGGCTGAGGAGGGAGGATCACTTGAGCCTGAGGCTGCAGTGAGCTATGATCGTTCCACTGTCCTCCAGCCCATATGATAGAGGCCCTATCTCAAAAAACAAAGCAAAACAAAATACCTCCCCAACGCTGGCTTGCCCAAATTTCACCAGCCCCCACCATATATCTGGGCCAAAGAATGTTAGGGGTTTTGAGCTACAAGTGTATTACAACTGCTCAAACTTCATCCTTGCTGCTCCTTTAGTGAATTAAAGTGAGACTAAAATGCGTTCGGCTGCACTTCCACTCCCCACCAAAAACCCAACTTGCCCCTTCTCAGCATCTGGAAGGCTCGCCTGTCTTCGGCTGCATCCTGCTGATCTTCCTGTGCCCAGGATGCCCCTTGGCTTATGTGTGAAACAGACAGGTGTTGCTCAACCTGAAGTAACAGCGATAGCTCCTTCCAGACATCATTCAGTTTCTCGTTGACATCTTTGAAGAGTATTTTGTCCTGGCTTGTTGTTAGAAACCTCCAGATATTGGATTTTTTGCTGAAGTTGTCTATCTCCCCATTGGCCTCCTCTAGGGCAGCCTTGAAGTGTTTCATGGCTGTGGTTAACTTCTCAGAGGGCACCCTCCTCTTTCCTTGGTCCTGGAGCATCTCCAGAGACTTGACCAGGCCGAGGACACGGTTGCCCAGGCGCTGGCACTGTTTCTTGCAGTATTTCATCTCTTCACACCGTTTGTAGATGTCCTGGCCAAAGGTGATGATATGCTTCAAATTTTCCATACCTGGAATAAACGAATGGAATTTGGTGAAACCCCCAAATTTCCTGCATATTCACTACTTGGCTAAGAAAGAATCAAAGGGATCTGTGATTTAGGTGTCTGAGGAGGTCTCCCCACCATTTTTATGCAAGATAGAGATGGTTTGCTGCCCACCAAAATCTGTTCTGCCCTTCCATAATAATACACTTGCAGCTGAGAAGAGCTGATACAGCTGGGACTACATCTCCCAGCCTTCCTTGCAGCATGATGTGGCCATGTGACTAGTTCTCACCAATGGGGTGTGAGTGCATGTGACCGGCTCTACTTTGGACTAGGGCAGCTTTGCCCCCTCCACAAGCTCTCCCTTTGCTGGCTGGATGCTCAGGGTGAAGCGGGCCTAGGGGTGGTGGAGCCCTAAGAAGGGTCCTGGGTCCCTGGATCATCACTTGGAAGAGAGCTGCCCACAGACCTGGAACATCTGCCATGGACTGTTAAGTGATTGAGGAATAAACTTGTATTGCATATAAACCATTGTATTTTCTGGTCGATATATTTATATCAGTTTCGCCTATTACAAATATATCCTGCTAAAGCATAGGGACTTCAGAGGCCAGGCAGGTAACTCAAATGAGTGAAGTGAGCTGGCCTAGAATAATAGTCTTTACTGCCACAGATAAATATGCTTCTGTTTTTCTTAAAACGTGGACTTTCATTTTTCCAATTTTGACAGAGGTAAGAGTACAAAGATTTGTTCAGTTTCTTCCAACAGTCCTTTAAGAAAAAATGCAGCTGGGAGAGGTGGTACCCACCGATAGGAGGAAGAGGCAGGAGAATTGCTTGAGGCCAGGAGTTCTAGACCAGTCTGGACGGCAAAGTGAGACCCTTTCTCTACAAAAATAAAAAGTAAAATAAAATAAAATAAATAAAATATAAAATTGGCCAGGCGTGGTGGCTCATACCCGTAATCCCAGCACTTTGGAAGGCTGAGGAGGGCGGATCACTTGTGGTCAGGAGTTGGAAACCAACCTGGCCAACATGGTGAAACCCTGTCTCTGCTAAAAATACAAAACTTAGCTGGGTGTGGTGGTGTGCACCTGTGATCCCAGCTACTCAGAAAGCTAAGCCAGGAAAATTGTTTGAATCTGGGAGGCAGAGGTTGCACCATCTAAATGTGTGTGTGTGTATATATATATGTGTGTGTATATATATATATGTTTAAATAAGTTAGCCTAGCATGGTGGCACACACCTGTAGTCTCAGCTACCTGGGAAGTTGAGATAGGAGGATCCCTTAGTCCAGGAGGTAGAGGCTGCAATGCCAGCTTCTTACTCTCAACCTCTCTCTCTCTTCTCTGAACGTGAGTGAGGAAGCACAGAGCCCTGACCTAACGCTTGGAATGAAGCTAACCTGAGCCCGGTAGAATGGAAAGAGAGAAAGAATCTAAGCGCTTGATGACAACACTGAACCACTGGTTTGAACTGACACTGAACTGTACCCCATCCCCCAGCTACAGGTTTCATCAACCAAATAACCTCCCTGATTGTTTAAGGCAGTTTGAATCACGTTTGCTTTATTTGCAACTAAAGCCAATGGAGTTCGGTAATGAATGATGATACTAATGATGACAATAGATCTCTCACCTACTACATCCTAAGTGCTTTGGAACCCCCAGCTCTCCATGGGCATTTTCACTTAACAGATGAAGATACTGGCTGGGGACAGTAGTTCATCCCTGTAATCCCAACATTTTGAGAGGTAGAGGTGAAGGACTGCTTGAGGCCAGGAGTTAGAGACCAGTGTCAGCAACACCGCGAGACCCATCTCTACTAAAAATACAAAAATTAGCTGAACGTGGTGGAACACATCTGTAGCCCCAGCTACTCAGGTGGCTGAGGTGGGAGACTCACTTGCGCCTGGGAGGTTGAGGCTGGAGTGAGCTATGATGATACCACTGTACTCCAGTCTGGGAAACAGAGGGAGACCCCGTCTTGAAAAAACAAACAGGTGAAGATGCTGCAATTCAGGGAGGTTGCATTCAAATAATCACAAGGTCATGGAACCAGTTTTCAAAGTATTTAAAATAAAGTTAGGGTCGGGTGCGATGGCTCAAACCTGTAATCCTAGCACTTTGTGAGGCTGAGGCCAGAGGATCGCCCGAGCCTGAGTTCGAGACCAGCCTAGGCAACATGGTAAAACCCTGTCTCTACAAAAAAATACAAAAATTAGCTGGGTGTGGTGGTGTCTGCCTCTAGTCCCAGCTACTCTGGAGCCTGAAGAGGGAGAATTGATTGAGCCTAGGAGGTTGAGGCTGCAGCGAGCCATGATTGTGCCACTGACTCAATCCAGCCTGGGTGGGCAACAGGATGAGACCCTGTCTCAAAAATACCACCACCACCACCGCCACCAGTAACAACAACAACAAAAAACAAAGTTAGTGGTTTTTTAAAAATAGCTCACTGAAATCGGTAGGTTAAGTATTATCATCAGTTTATGGATTAAATAACAGCTTGGAGAAAATAATTGGCCTGGAGCCCCAATATGGCTTTAAAACATGAGTAAGGCACTGGAAGTGAAACTAAAAGTGAAACTAAATAAATGAGCTATCGATATACTTGGGTTTTTGTTGCCTGAGAGTTATAAGTGATCGGGCAAGGGAGCTAATAGTTATTAGGGTACTCCTACAAAGACGAGCAGATCTCAGACTACCCAGCTATTCCGAGAAGCTAAGAAGATAGCTTCCAGGCCGTTTCCTGGGAATTGCGAGGGCAAAGGGTTTTACACTTCCTCTGTTACACCAGAAACAGAAGCAAATGTGACAATGTCATTCAAGGAATCTCACAAATTTCAGCTTCCCAGCTCCAAGCTCCAATTATCTTACTACTAACCTCATCGGAAAGCCAAATCTCAGCACTAACTAATCAAAGTAAAATGGGGAAAATATCCCACCCATGGAAGTGACAAACAATTTAAAATAATTAATTATACAGTGGTGGCATGGTATGAAGAAAATCGCAGCCAGGACAGTGGCTCACACCTGTAATCTCAGCACTTTGGGAGGCCAAAGTGGGTGGATCACCTGAGGTCCGGAGTTCGAGACCAGCTTGGCCAACATGGTGAAACCCCATCACTACTAAAAATACAAAAATTAGCTGGGCGTGGTAGCAGGCATCTGTAATCCCAGCTATTCGGGAGGCTGAGGCAGGAGAATTGCTTGAACCCGGGAGGTGGAGGTTGCACTGAGCCGAGATCTCACCACTGTGTTCCAGCCTAGGCAAAACAACAAAACTCCATCCAGAGAGAGAGAGAGAGAGAAAAGAAAAGAAAGAAAGGAAGGAAGAAAGAGAGAGAGAAAGAAGAAAGAAAGAAAGAAAAGGAAAATTGTACAAAACAAAGCTTTAAGAAAGAGAAGTGTTATATTTCTGGCTGGGAAGACTAAAATAGACCAACCCGGAAATCCCTCCCAAATGTAAATCCAATTAATGGAGTTCCAATAAACATCCAATGACATATTTTGGCATTAAAACTAAAGGATCTTAAAGTTCATTTGAAACAGGAAATTAGTAGGGATAACCAGGATTTTTAAAAATAAAGAAAAGGGGACTTGGCTGTATGATATTAAGGTATATTAGGCCGGGCGCGGTGGCTCAAGCTTGTAATCCCAGCACTTTGGGAGGCCGAGGTGGGTGGATCACAAGGTCAAGAGATGGAGACCATCCTGGTCAACATGGTGAAACCCCGTCTCTACTAAAACTACAAAAAATTAGCTGGGCATGGTGGCACGTGCCTGTAACCCCAGTTACTCGGGAGGCTGAGGCAGGAGAATTGCCTGAACCCAGGAGGCGGAGGTTGCGGTGAGCCGAGATCGCGCCATTGCACTCCAGCCTGGGTAACAAGAGCGAAACTCCGTCTCAAAAAAAAAAAATAAATAAAAATAAAATAAAAAAAATAAATAAATAAAATTAAAAAAAAATAAATAAAAATAAAAATAAAGGTATATTAAAAACTGCAAAGCATTGGAAAAAAAGCACTCTACAATAACTGAAATTGTTTAAGGGCTTATTAAGTATATGATCTCTAAGGGAAGAAGGGGAATATAAATATATACACACTTAGACTGGGCAATTTGAATTTCTAGGAACTTAGGCTATAGAAAAGTTTGTGTGTGTAGATAGATGGCTACTAAGACGTTCACTGCAGTGCTATTTATAATATGTAAAATAAACAACTAAGAATATGTTCAGGCCTGCTGCGGTGGCTCACACCAGTGATCCCAGCACTTTGAGAGGGCAAGGTAGGAGGATCACTTGAGCCCAGGAGTTTGGGACTAGCCTGGGTGACAAAGCAAGACCCTGGCTCTACAAAAATAAATAAATAAAATAATAATAATAATAATAATAATAATTAATTGGGTGTGGTGGTGTGCGCCTTGTAGTCCTAGCTACTTGGGAGGATCTGGCAGGAGGATCACTTGAGACCAGGAGTTCCGAGGCTGCTGTGAGCTATGATTGTGCCACTGCACTCTAGCCTGGGCAACAGAGGAACACCCCACCTCTAATAATAAATAAGTAAAAAGGGGATTATGCTCATATGTTATGATGAGAAAACAGGTTGTTGTTGTTGTTATTATTGCTATTATTATTATTATTACATTGGGACAGTCTCGCTCTGTTGCCCAGGCTGGAGGGCAGTGGTGAGATCTCGGCTCACCGCAACCTCCGCCTTCCGGGTTGAAGCGATTCTCCTGCCTCAGCCTCCTGAGTAGCTGGGACTAGGGGTGCGTGCCACCACGCCCAGCTAATTTTTTCTTTTTCTTTTTTTTTTTTTTTGAGACGGAGTTTCGCTGTTGTTACCCGGGCTGGAGTGCAATGGCGCGATCTCTGCTCACCGCAACCTCCGCCTCCTGGGTTCAGGCAATTCTCCTGCCTCAGCCTCCTGAGTAGCTGGGATTACAGGCACACGCCACCATGCCCAGCTGATTTTTTGTATTGTTAGTAGAGACGGGGTTTCACCATGTTGACCAGGATGGTCTCGATCTCTTGACCTCGTGATCCACCCGCCTCGGCCTCCCAAAGTGCTGGGATTACAGGCGTGAGCCACCGCACCCGGCCCCCAAGCTAATTTTTTCGTGTTTTTAGAAGAGACCAGGTTTCACCGTGTTAGCCAGGATGGAGTGCTGGGATTACAGGCTTGAACCAGGACGTCCGGTACTAATTTTAAAAGTGAAAAATCTTTAAGTGGTGATAACAATACAAATTCACTTCTTCCTCCCCTCCAAATAAACAAATAAATAAATAAATAAAGGTTATCAGGCATTTTCTCTCTCTCTCTCTCTCTCTCTCTCTCTCTCTCTCTCTCTCTCTCT